TTTTTTTGCGACACATCGCCACTTTCCATTCTTTTTCCTCGCGAGAACACTCGATCATTACATATATATATATATATATATATATATATATATTTTTTTTTTTAATACTTTGTTCTTCTTTTCTTATCGATTTCTTTTTCGTCGAATTCAAATTTTAGACTTTTTAGTTTCTTCCGTAATATATTCGCGGAATTATTCTCAATTGCTTCGCAGATCTTGTCGTATTTCTTAATACGTTCGATACTTATTTTACCAAGCTATTTCTGGCTGGTTGAAGACACTCTTTTTTTTTTATTTCTCTTTCTACTCAGTTGCTTCGTTTAACACGCCGTTGCGAAAGCTTTAAAGCATAATTCGATCCTTCTTTTGTTCCTTTTGAAATGTTGAAGAACGGTGTCCCGTTTATAGAACACGGATAGAGTGTGTGATGGCTATCGTCCCTCTGCCATCGTCGGACAGAACGAGATTGCCGCGGGAAAAAAAATCTCGAAAAATATTTATTATACCGATTGCGTGTGAAAACGGGCGCGAATCGGCGGCAAGACGTTTTATTACATTTAAACGCGCGAGGTTTATTCTCACACGTTCGTGTCGCGATCCTACGGCGATACTTAAACGAAATTGATGTAGTAGACTATTGTTAGAATCACAGCGCACAGAGAAACGGGAAAAATAGTTCATTGCCAGGTCACGCGCTGGGGAGAAGAAGAACTGAAAAAGAATCTCAATTCGATCCTACGTCAGATAATGTCCCAGATATCTGTTAATCTGTTTAGCTTTCGTTGATCCCCAGGAGTTGTTCAGCCAGTTGAGAAAATTTTACTTCTAGTCGGAAATTCCAGCGATTCTCGCCAGCTTAGTATACACGGGTTAATTAATCGCGTAACCATTTCCAATTTTTTTTTTTTCCTCCCCTTTTCTCGTTACTCTCAACAAACGAGCGAATTATCGTGCTCGAAACAGAGGAAGGAGAAAGGAAACGAAGGTGCGTGCGATGCAGGAATTATTCCTCGAGTCGTACAAGACCGTGAAGCAAAATCAAGCGGTTCTCGAGCGATGTGTATGCGTGTGTGTGTGTGTGTGTGTTGCAAGCCGTCGTTCGATTTGATGTAAATTATACGTGAACGTGGCAAATCCCTGGCGTGCCGAACAGGACGCCGTTTATGCAACCGTCTCTACCCAGCAGAGAATCGCCTTCGTTTCGCTTTCGAGAGACAGAGAGAGAAAGAGAGAGAAAGAGAGAGAGAGAGAGAGAGAGAGAAATGATTTTACAACAGACCAAATCATTCATTGAATCCGTGAAAATTTTGAACGAGTCGAAGTTTTTTGAATCGTTGGAAGTTGCAAGAGTTTTATTTTTCCACGCGCGCGGCTTGAACATTTCGCTGTAGTCTAGCGACACACCGCGTTATTCTTGAACCGGTCGATCGATAAGGTATTTACTCGCGTATCATTTAAGTGAAATAAAAATTTCAACGCATGCGTCGAATTTTACATTGATTTCTTGCCTGTCCAGCCAATAATCGCGCTTTTCTTTCACTTTATATTTATATTTATATCCTCTCGCGCACATACACACAATCTCTCAACGACAAGCCGAGTTAATCTGGAATGAAAATAATTAATTCAAACAACGAATGAGAATTAATTATTTATTATTGCAAGTAGAAGAAGCTTGGAAGAATTAGTAGAATTTTGTCTACGACTAACGAGGTAATTCTCAGCGATGAAATACTAGAACGAACCTTGGGTTCAGGACCGTGGGGATTAAACGAAAGTGGGTTGATCTTCTCGAAGACGTAACGCGATATCTCGGAGATTAAATAAAATAATCAGTCCTCCGCTCTTTATGTTTTATGTAACACGTCGTTTTATCGCGATAAACGTTTTATCGAAACAGAACTTTGTACTACATCTTTTGATCCATTTCGAGCTTCATTTCTCTTCTCTCTCTCTCTCTCTCTCTTCGTGAACGAGAGACGCAAATTCTCCGTCTTTCGTGTTTCAACGTTGCTGATGGGGAACGCTGATTTTGCGTTGTAGGGGACACGATCCAGGCAGCGTTATATATAATTTATATTATATAATATTATATATAATATATAATTATACATAATAATGTTATATAATTTTTCAAGAAGTAGGGAAATTGTTTCCTAACATGCCACACCAAGAAACGTTAACTAGAGGTATTTTCATTTTATTCAATAAAACGCCCCTGAAATGAAAAATAATTAACAATTTTAATTATTAATAAAATAATACACTTGTTAAATGCTCGTACATTCTCTCGAACCCTTTCGACCCTTTCAATCATGTATTAAATAATTCAAAAAGTACGAGAAAATACAGGCTATATGTTTGTCAGAGCATACCATCCTCAATGTGTTAATGTAAATATAAAATAAATGATAGTTGAAGTCTAAAATAAATAAATAGATAAATAGATTCTTAAATATTACTATAAATAACAATAGATAAATAGATTTTGAAATATTACTGTGAATAATAATAGATAAATAGATTCTTAAATATTACTGTGAATAATAATAGATAAATAGATTTTGAAATATTACTGTAAATAATAATAGATAAATAGATTTTGAAATATTACTGTAAATAATAATAGATAAATAGATTTTGAAATATTACTGTAAATAATAATAGATAAATAGATTTTGAAATATTACTGTAAATAATAATAGATAAATAGATTTTGAAATATTACTGTAAATAATAATAGATAAATAGATTCTTAAATATTACTGTAAATAATAATAGATAAATAGATTTTAAAATATTACTGTAAATAATAATAGATAAATAGATTCTTAAATATTACTATAAAAAACATATAATAGCATTTAAGAATATTTTATCAATGTGAATTAAAGAAGTACAAAGTTTCCCTGTTGCTCCAAAAATGTGCGGGTCCTTGGCAGAGCAAGTTGGTACGCAAGAGTGTAGTACGCAATGTGTTATTAACTCGTTGATTACTCATTTTCAAAATTTCAATCATTGATAACCCCGATTTCCTAAAAAAAAAAAAAAAAGGAAAGAAGCAAAATCACGGTTCGTCAAGTACTTTTTGTTTTCAATCTTGTTCTTATCGCCCATTATCTTCGTACCGCCAGTATTATAACATTACAAGGTCTCGTGTAAATATATTTTATTGAATTAATTACTTGCACAGCTGCGCAAGATTGTTCCCGACAGTTCAGTGGAATTGTTTGAAAATGGAAGAAAAAGACAAGAAAATTGTCTCATTGTCAATTTATCAGATAGCAGATAAGCTCGATAGTATATCGCGTGTCCAGTCGAAATTCGAGAAACGACAGGGGATCTTCGTGCACACGTTGCAATTAGAATATTATCGATCGTAAAACTCTCCTGCAAATTTCTCTCGGTATCGTTTCGTGGCGATGAAAGTTATTTAAAATTATTTCGGTGATCAGTGGACGATCAAACGTCATCATTGTCGGTTGCACAACGATTCGTTTGTACGAATACGAGAATTTCGGATCTGGAAGGTCCGAACTTGACTGGAAGCAAGCAGGTTTCGATCGTTTCAGCAACGCTCTGTCCAACTTTCTGAAATAAGTCGTGAATCTCGCCGATTGTGAACGACGTGATTAGATTAGACAAAACATAGATTAGAAATTTATTGTTTCAAAGAATCGACGTTTGCTGGATACCAATTATTAATCAGCGAGAAACCTGCCACAAGATTAATTCAAGCGTTTTATTACATTCTTCAAATGGATTCAGAATTCAAACGAAATTAAAAGCAGCCAGTGATTGGACATTGTTTTAGAAAGTAATATGTCCGATGATTTGATATTGTCGGTATTGTTGAGAAGTGGTACTTGGAAACAATCGAGTCTCCGTTTGTTCGTTGCCTAAATCTCCTTGACGACGTTGGAATCAGGAACACGACGTGGAGGGAAGTGAAGAGTTCTAACTAATTAGCTAGTTACGTTAGTTCAGTCTTTCAAATCACGTCTTATTGTTCCTTCCAGAACGAAACGAAGAAAGAAAGAAATATATAATACTGCCTTCGGTATACAGTATCAACGCTTTTGTTGTGTCGTATGTTCAGAGTGGCTAGCAGTCGTATAATAGTCATTCAACGATGCAATATCAAGGAGGATCGTTTTTATTCGAATAATTTTAAATGAATAGCCAAATAAAGTTTGATCGTTTGATTAAAATTTTTTTATCGAGAGGATTGAGGAGAGTTGGATAATACTCTTGAAATAAGCAGTAATTGCATTTCTTTTTAGATGGTACTGTAATAGCTAAATGAATAAATTTTCAATCGAAAATTAGAATTCGACCGAAGTTTCACAAATCAACTTAATTAATATTATACAATATTAATATTACGTTAATATTTAATTCCTTAAAAATATTTATGATATTTATAATATTTTATTTAATTCCTTAAAATATGTATAACATTTATAATATTCTATTTAATTCCTTAAAATATGTATAACATTTATAATATTTTATTTAAATTTCCTTAAAATATTTATAATATTTTATTTAATTCCTTAAAATATGTATAATATTTATAATATTTTATTTAAATTTCCTTAAAATATTTATAATATTTTATTTAATTCCTTAAAATATGTATAACATTTATAATATTTTATTTAAATTTCCTTAAAATATTTATAATATTAATATTTAATTCCTCTCGTTTCACCAGCGTTTTTTTTTTTTTTTTTTTACTCAGAAATTGAATATTTAAGAGCCAGGATGTATTCAAATTCCAAAAAGAATTTCTTTCCTGATTCGAGCGATCGCCACGCGACGTTTCAACGGGACTTTCACTTCGGCCACGCTGAAATAAA